AAAACACAGAAGCTACACCGAAGCCCCAGCTTTCTGTGAACCAAGGAAAAGTTCAAAAAAGAAGACACAAGAAGCATCAAAAGATGACGTCACTCCAACTTTTCAAGATCAGGATCAACAACGCCTGCAAACTCGTGAAATCCCACGAGTCACAAATCGACACTATCGATGTTCCCTTCACATTCCCCACACTAAAAGATGAATGTGAAAAGTATATAAAAGAGAAAACGGGATTGATAACCAATCTTCTCAACTCTCTACAAAACGCTGTGAAGCTTCAAGAGATGCAGATTAACTCCGCAATTGAGTATATCAGCGCACGAAATGAGGAAAAAGAAAGAGAGAAATTGATGATGGAGCTCAGTAAGCACTTAGAACTGGAGTCACTTGATCTAGAAGTGATTGTAGTGCGGTGGCGGACAAGGATAGAGTTCAGGCAGCATGAACTGAAAGAACAAGGCGCACTTCTGCACTGCGATCCTCCAAGCATACTGAGTCAACCAAGTAGTGAAGTTGGGCAAGCTGAAACTCCGGAACGCAACGAAAGACAGATCAAGATTCGGAAGCCCATGCTTGAAATTCCTACGTTCTCAGGCAATTTCCGGGAGTTCAACAGTTTTTGGACAGTCTTCGAATCACTTATCCACACCGATGAGGAGTTATCCGACACGGACAAATTCTTGTTTCTTCTGAAACAAGCTTTAAAAGGAAAAGCAGCAGCCACTCTGAGCTGCATCCCCGTCGTCGGAGAAAGATATCAGACAGCGATAGATATCTTGAAGAAACACTTCGATCGCTCTGCCAACATGGCGGACATACTCATAAACGAGATCGAAAAACTACCCAGGGCCTCAGATGATCCGGAAAGTTGCCGAGACACCTTCGAAGCCATCTACTCGAGGATCATTCACCTGGAACAAATGGGAACGAGGATGAACGCAGACAGAGTTTGGCGCCGAATAATCTTCTCCAAGTTTCCCGAATCCATATGTGCGACCGCCATTCAAAAGGAAGCTGTACAAGATGATACATTTGACGTTAGCGAAATCCTAAACACTATCGACAACATCATATCATTGCGAGAGACAATCTTGCTAACTACGGAAACTCTCTTTCCAACCGACTACCACTCGAAGAACCAAGAAAATGAGAGGATTACCAGATGCGAAGGAAAAGAACACCTTTCAAAACCAAGACGCTTGTGTTTATGTGGACAACCACATTCGCCATATACCTGCCAGAGATACACCACTCCAGAAGCTCGACGACTTGAAGCAACAGACCAAGGAGCGTGCTGGAGATGTTTCGTAAGAAACCACGACTCAAACGCTTGTACAAATATTGGAGTATGCCCTAAATGTCAGGGATCGCACCATGGATCTCTTTGTGCCAGAAGAAAGACAACGCTGTGGATTCTTCGCACAATCCCGCGATCCTGCAGTCGACGATCATCAACATTCACCTCCTTGGACACAACGTGACACCGACCAGGATTGTCGCGAGATTAGTAACATGCACGTCATACAAGGCTCGGAGAGTAAACAAGGAGTACACATCTCACAAGGGAAGGATAGTTGGATGCCTCGGCCATTCCTAATGATTTGTATACCAAAAAATGCGCCTTCGAATGCAGAGTCTGAATCTGTGCTCGAAATCTGCGAAACGGTCTTTTGAAGAAAGTTATGAACTTTTTTCCTTGAAAATTTAGCCTACTTTTGGATAGTGAAAATCACCAGATTTGATCTAGCCTACCGTTTGATGCTACTGAAGAAAATTTTAGACGCAGTAATATTTATTTAGACTATCTGGATCATACTCAGCATTTGGAAAGGAGAGAAAATTTTTTTATAGATGATTTTGACCCTCCGCAGGAACGCAATTTTTTTAATGAAAAAAAATCATAACTCCATTCAGATTATCGTTTCGCAGATATGAAAGACAGTCTACGAACCAGCATTCAAAAGCGCATTTTTTGGTATACGAATCATTATGAATGGCTACGGCATCCAAGTATCCTTCCCCTGTCAGACGTACTTCCACTTGCGCACAATCAGTGCGTTCTTCAAATCGCCTCAGCATTGATTTTCAATGAAGCAGAGTGGGACTACCAACCAACGACCATACTTCTTGACTCCGGGGCGCAACGAAGCTTCATCAAAGCAAGACTCTGTGAAGAACTCAAGCTTCCGATCGCTCGATCTTACACTACATCAGGAACGGGCGAACACCAAGAGAAATTCAACTCATCTGAAGTGCACCTTGAAGAGTCTTCACAGCTCCGAGAAGCTCAAGAAGTTGTCATTGCATACAAAGCAGAAGCTGACTACCGATATGCAGACGGCAAGCCCCACGGAGGCAGACTTGCGTTTCATCGAAGACGGAAAGCTGATAATTGCTCAGGATACGCTCTCTCACAAAAGCCTTCTACCGGAACTGATCATCGGGCAAGACCTCATAAATTTTGTCATCCTTCGAAATGAGAGAGTGCTCACGCTCCCCTCAGGGCTCATTTTGACCCCAACGATCTTCGGATAAGTCATATCAGAAACAAGTCGCACCGCCATTACAGCAAGATCCGTTGGTACCTTCGGTTGCATATCAATGCTACAGGAAACATCTCCGCCAACAAAACTACAACAGTTCCTTTCATCTAAAGGAAGACAACCCAGAAAAATGAGGCAGATGCTCAGAGCTTTCATCTTCCGTGAAGCTCAAGCAGACAGACAACGTTGGCTGAACACAATCCGTTCCCTATCAAACTCTTCCGATGGCTCTGCGATGATGTCAAATGGAATGACCACCACCTTGTCGTATCTTAGGAAGCAAGCAGAGACAAAGATGACGAAGGGCAGACATCACAGAAGTTCACGCCTTATCAAAACGGCGCCTACCGAGAAGATGACCGTCAACAATGCTTCTACTATCAATTCAAAATCAATGACGAAGAGGAAGAGGCGACGACGACGACGACGAGCAATGCCAAAACGAAATTCGCCTCCATCAACCACCTCAACTGATCATACCATTGTGCATACATTGTGAATTGAATTAATTTCGTGTGAATGTTAACATTATTTGCAGCTCTTATTCAAGATCGTTATTCTGTATACATGCTCACTAACTTACTAGTCAACCTCATATGTGTCTACACTCATCAAGATCTTACCAGATCTCACTTTCCTCTCGCTCGCCCGGAGTGTTGATGATTTCTGGATCATCAACCATTGATGAACTCTATAATCTGTATAGCCTACGGGGTCCCCGTAGGCTAAATGGTGAGCTACTCATTCTCGAGTATCTAATCACTCAAGAGTGAGTGGTACCTGTGCGCCAGGAGTGTAGCCAATCGGCGGCATCTCCTTTTAAGCACCAACTCGTATACTTTGTACCTTGTATTCGGTTTGGCTCCGCCTTTCATCCTATATAAGGAGCCTCCGAATGTATTAGAGGTTGCTCCCCGGTCCACACCGGGACACCTCGATAATCGCTCTCAACTAATCTACGCCAGTGTGAATAAACCTATTCCACAACTACTCGTCTACCCTATCACTTGGTACACACCAAATATGTAAAGCGGTCCCACGTGGCAGTCACTCTTGGCACCCATGATGTGTCAAGCGGTCGCCGATGTGTTACAGCATTTATTTGGTTGACCGTTGTGATTGATTTTGTGTGTAACAAGTATGATGGAGCTTTGTTACCTGGCATCTCAACACTTTAAAGTCTTCCTCTGCATCCTGAAAGGAAATCCAAGATTTGCATCTGTCTATATGACCAATGCCTTTTTCCTCTCGCAGCGCTCAGACCTTGTCCAAGTACAACATATTGGGAAGAATTCTGAAGTTATGGTCACTACCTCGATTAACCGTGGAGTTAGTAGCCAGCTCCCACTACTGTGACGGACATCACACCGAGGATTACCCAGTGGGACACACCATAGTTTGTTAAATAATATGTGATATGAAAGGTGAAGGTGATTTTTCAGAACCAAGCATTCATTTTTATCCTTAATTCTAACGATTCTATGCAGTCACTAACGTTTTTCGTGAATGAAATCCGTTCATTATGGTGATATATGAACTTCATCAAATCATAACTATTATGTGCCTCACTTCTATGTTTTTCCACCGATGATTACCTAAATCTCGCTCTTTATTGGTCAGATGTTTCTTCACCCTACTATTCATCTTTTAGTCTCTCTGAATGCTGTTTCAAAGCTTAAGCAGTCCAGCTGCTGAATCTCATCCTTCTTTCAGTCAATTAGCTTCCCGTATGGGCCGACGACCTGCATCATACGACTGTTTTCTTATCAACCGCTTTCTATCAGTGCTGCTAGGAAAGATCAGCATTTTGTCGTTTTCTGACTGACTTTTAATGCGCCGTTCGTTCGCCTCACCAAATTTCTCTAATACGAAGGCATGCATAAGAAATGTCTTTGTCGTTGTTTCGCATAAGCTCACTTTATCATTTTTCTAATGCCTGGGACAAGAAGTATCTGGGTTTCGTTTCGACCAAGGAAGAACTAACACGAATTGCAAGTGACGCCAACACTGAGCACTCAAAGCGTCCGAATAATGTCCATGCATTCTGCAGGCGCATGCGCAACAGGTGGTGTGCGTCAGGCAAATGGTGACTCAACATTCTTCAAATCAAAGTTTATTTTGATCGGTTTCGGATTATAAAAGTAGTTGTCGATTAATAGCACAGAAGAATCCAAGCTTTGTTCGAGTCGGACTTCGAAAGTTTTGCGTTCATGTGCTTTGCTTTTCCACAGATATCAACACACTAACTTCGCAATCGACGTAGCATTCTTAAAAGAGATTGGGAGAGGATCGTACCGAAAGATCAATGAAGGATAGTTTTTGGCGGTCGTGTGGCAAACCTTCTGCTCGACTAGGTTTCTATATACGACCACAGAGCTTTTACTTTGTAGATTTTTCACTTCTACATTAATATCTATCGTTCACCAAGCTTTGAAATTTGAGAATGTCAAGAAAAACCTTTATTGCAAGATAAACATATGAACTATAACTTCAAAACAAAAATGTGTGACACGACGTGATTGTCAATGGAAGTTGGCTTATTAGCCAGAGAAAGCCTTGTCAGATGAGCGAGATAAGTGGAAAGCGTGTAAGAGTCGCTCATAGGATAGTGAAGATAGAAGCGATTCTTCGTTTGTTAGAAAAGAACTAACTAATTTAGAGAAAAGAAAAGAGTTTAGGCTAGTTAAGAACTCGCAGAAAAGAAAGAGCCTGTGAACAGGCTAATGAAGCAAACAACACAGCATTTAACTGTCAAATGTGAGCATATGAACAATAAATTACAAGTAAACTCAATAAAAGAAGAAGATGTTCTAATATCGATAAACACCGGCAAATCCCCAGCTTTCGTAATTACGGGGGTAGCATGCGACGGCTAATTTGGAAAGTGCACTTAAGAACCTGGAAACTACGTCAAACATCAACAAATGAAGTGAGATAAGAAAAGAAAACTGAGGCCTAACTAAGCAGCCTTGCCAGCGTTTTGAATTTCTGTTCCAGTATTTCAACACGCGACTCCAAGCGCATGTGATCTAGCTTCAGCTGACGATTGTCCTTCCTCAACTGTTGATTTTGCTGCTGCAACTGTTCCAGCTCCCACTTCAGTTCATCTCTCGCCTGTTAAATATAAACAATACCACAGTGACATCAATGAGCTGCAAAAGTTTACAAAAATATAGAAAAATAGATCAGTGTGATGCGATCAAAAACAATGTATTTCCTAGCCTTTCTTTCTGTCTTCTCTTCATTCCGTCCAGCTAAGTCACCAGTTTTTTTTCTTCAAATAAATCAAGTCCGGCTTCTATTTGGGCTAATGAAGCAGATGATAGCATGGAAAGTGGTAACTACTCCTTGCTCTCCTTTTGCGTTAACCTAGTGATGACACCCTGCGTGCCAGACTTTGCCGAGAAATATAGCCGATGGTTTATGGATTGTTGTAATATTTCTTATTTGCAGATATGTGCTTGAGCGCAACTAGTCTTTTATATGCGTTCGGATACACCTGCATGAAAGAGGAAAAATGAGAATTTTGCAGCTGACATCAAAATCTCATCATTGTTGTTTGCTTATCACAAAACATGTGTACGATTGCCGTTGCTACCTACATACCTCAATGACTAATGTTCAAATAACTTGTCTTAGAAAGACGTGAATGTTTACTTTGCCACAGGAACAGTGGCTAACAAGCTCTCACACAGTTTACTTTCGCATTCGACCTTATGATCTTGTTCGCGTCATTTTTGATTTCGCAATTTTGATTATTCGTGTATCCATTTTGGCAAAGCACTTAAGACTTCAAACGGAAATAAGGGAAAATTAAACTCACCATGTTCGCGTCTTTTTCAAGTTTCGATACTGTGCTCTCGACCAAGAATGAATCAAGCCGGATAATTCGTTGCGCTGCTTTGAGCCGCACTTCTTCTCCGAGCCTAAATTCATCAATTATGTATCATAAAGTGCAAGGGAAAAATTTACCTTTCTTCCATGGTTCTCTCCAAGTAAGTGCGATAATGAAGAGCAGCTTTCTTTGCAAGTAGAGCTACAGGTTCCCATTTGATCTTTTCCTGTAAATGCCATCCTGATGTAAGAAAAAGACATGCCAAATTCAGTAAGAAGGTGTATAAATTTGTGTCAGATGGAAATTGCTATAGTGAAAACATGGGACAGGAAAAGCGCATATGATGATTTTTGGAATTGTGCAAAGTTTGCTTCTTTGAAAGTATCAAGCCGCTCAATGGGATGCTACTTCAGTATCAATCAGAGAGGAATGAATATTGCGGCATAAGTGAAAAGTTCGCAGAAAATCAATCGCTGAAAGACGATGAGGCAAGAAAACAAGGAAAAGAATCATGCTCATTTTAGATTACTACCAAAAACTAGCTAGTAAAAAGCAAGGACTAAAGTCAATAGGGGTAAGCATGGTTTTGGAAAGCTTTGTCTTTTGGGAAGTCTACAATCATAAACTTTCGGAGAAGAATTCGGCTGTGCATCCGCCGCTCCTAACTGGACCCAAATAAGACTGTTGCAGAAAATATGAAGTTTATATATTGGAGTTCGAAGGCTTGTATTGGAATCTGAAGGATGAGACTAAACCCAAACATTCATACCGGTCGCGCATAAAACAAATGGCATCCGCGTTCTGCAAGTACCTTCGTCTTTTGAATTTTCCGTGTTCATTTTATTCATGCTCTAATTATTTCATTCAAGCTTTTGTGGCCAAGTAGGGAGGAAATAAGAGGACTGCTTTGGAAGTGCAAGAGGACAATCTAGAGTTTAGTGGTAAGCCGATGAAGGGACTGTTAAAATTCAAGGCGTTGTAACAGCAAACCCTTCAAAAACGGAAAAGTGCGGCTTCTAAGTCTAAGATTCGCATCGAAAGTGTTTTGAAACTCGTCCATCCAGCGATACAACGTTAGCGCATATTACACAGCTATGACCACGGATCTCCCTCGTAGAGGGATCACAGCCGGTTAGTCGCGAGGCTACGTGGGGCGTCCCCAGATGGCGGATAGGGGGATAATCGCCGACCAAAAGCGACCCCGCGCCTGCTCTGATAAGCAAGCGGAGCCGTGGGACGGACTCCCTGCCTCCACTAAAAGCTTGCGCCCTAATTTCCCGGGTAGGTGTGTGGGGAGGCGAGTTCGGAGTCGCCTCCAACAAATAAGCTCCGATCGTCCCTCGCGGGGGTTTTGAGCCCAACAAGCTATCCCTGCGAGTAAATTCTTGTTCGACACAGTGATAATATGGAAAGCTCTTTTATTCTTGGAAGAGCCACTGGTAAGGCAGCGCCAGTGGGGACAAGGTTTGAAAGGCGATCTAGGCTGCCGAATACGAGACGGACTATGATGACGATCTGTACTTACAACGCGAGGACGCTGGCATCGGACGCATCTATCGAAGATCTCATGATGCAAGCAAGGAAGATTAAGTACGACGTCATCGGACTGACCGAGACAAGGAGGCACCACCCGCTGAACGCCACATTTGAGACTGGAGAAGAACTGTTTCTAGGAACATGCGACAGTCGAGGAGTAGGTGGAGTGGGAGTCCTTGTCAACACGAGTTTGGCCATGAACATCGATTCGTTCGAACAACTTACAACTCGAATCGGACGTTTGCGAATATCAAGATGTGGATCAATCCCTGCCTTGACCGTCTTCATTGCGTACGCCCCAACATCCAGCTACGACGAGGACGAACTCGAGGAATTTTATATGGACTTGGAGAAGTTCTACAGAGAAGATCATACCTTCTACAAGATCATCGTCGGTGATTTCAACGGATCGGAACTAGAAGGTCGACTGAGGAACTTCACATCGGAACCCATGGTTTGCAGTGGAACGAACAAGGGGAGAGACTGTCCGAGTTTATCATGACGACGAGGACTATCCATGGAAACTCACAGTTCCAAAAGCCCTCTTCCCTACGCTGGACCTGGGAATCGCCCGGTGGAGAGTACAATAACGAGATTGACCACATCATCGTCAACAGAAGGTACTGCCTGACGGACGTCGCTGTTGTTCCGAAGTTCTACACGGGATCAGACCATCGTCTCCTGCGCGCCAAATTCTATTTTCCGCGGAATGGAGAGAGAGCCGTCAAGTTCAGGAAACATCGTCCCATGAATACCACCAACTGGGATCTGTTTTCTTCGATATCCGGCTCATGGCGAGATACCGTGATGGACAACATCGACGAAGAATACGAACGGTTCGTACAACATCTCCACGGTTGTGCCAAGGAAGCTCAGAGTCTAAGAAGTACGAGTAGGCGTCTCACCACGGGGACTTTGCAGCTGATACGCCAACGTGGACGCGCACGAGCCACAGGCAACTACCGACTGACGTCCGAGCTTGCGAAGCGATGCAGAGAAGCGATAAAAGAAGACCTTAAGGAGAGAAGAGTAGCAGTGATGGTTGACGCCGCGGAGGCTGGAAGAAGTATACGCAACGCCCGCCGAAGCTTCGTCAACTTCAAGACAAAGATGACCGCACTTCGTCGTCCTGGCGGAACCATAACTGCTTCCCGAAGATCAATGGAGAAGGTCATCCACGATTTCTACTCGGATCTTTTTGCGAGCCACGTCCACCTTCCACCATGCCATCTCAAGGAGGACGAGTATGTCGCACCGTCTGTTCTTCCTTCCGAGATTCGTCATGCTATCATGTCGATGAAAAAACGTACAGCACCCGGTCCCGACAGGATTAAGCCAGAACATCTGAAGAATCTTTCGCCAGTTCTCATCAAGACTTTGGCAAGGCTCTTCACGCGGTACCTGACGGAAGGCAAGGTTCCAAGGCAATGGAAGACCAGCAAAACCGTGTTGCTGTACAAGAAGGGAGATCCCTGCGACATCGGCAATTATCGCCCTATCTGCTTGTTGTCCGTAGTCTACAAACTCTTTACGCGAGTCATTCTCAACAGGATCGGAAGAGAGTTGGACGAAGGACAACCATGCGAGCAAGCTGGGTTTCGAAGAGGATTCAGCACGATCGACCACATACACACGGTGCCAAGGCTCATTGAAGTGTCACGAGAGTATAAGATGCCGCTCTGTCTCACCTTCATCGACTTGAAGAAGGCCTTTGACTCGGTTGAGACTGAAGCCGTCATCGATGCCTTGAGCAATCAAGGTATTCCGACTCATTACATCAAGATAATTCGTGAGCTGTATAACGACTTCACAACCACCATAACACCATTCTACAAGGACATCATCATTGACGTGAAGAGAGGCGTGCGACAAGGCGATACTATATCGCCGAAACTATTCAGTGCCGCTCTGGAGAACGTCATGCGTAAGTTGGAATGGGACAACATGGGAGTGAAAGTCGACAGCCGGCAGCTACACTACCTTCGCTTTGCTGATGACATCGTATTGAAAACACCAAGCATCACGCAGGCGGAACAAACGCTGGCCCAGTTTGACGAAGTGTGTGGAAAGATCGGTCTACGGCTGAATCTAACGAAGACGATGTTCATGAGGAACGGAAGAGTGCCTGATGCTCCTTTCATGCTCAACGGAACGAACATCACCGAATGCTCAAGCTACACCTACCTAGGTCGTGAACTCAATATGATGAACGATCTAGCTCCGGAACTGAACAGGAGGAAACGTGCAGCATGGGGAGCATATAAGACAATTGAGGACGTAGTGAAGAAGACCAAGAACATCCGGCTCCGCGCCCACCTTTTCAACTCGACGGTTCTTCCTGCTTTGACGTACGCTTCAGAAACATGGACAATGAGAAAGCAGGATGAACACGCGGTTAGCGTCATCGAACGAGCTGTTGAGAGAGTGATGCTAGGAGTGAATCGACTCACGCAAGTGAGGCAAGGATTACGAAGTTCTACCCTACGTCAACGATCGAAGATCAGGGACGCTGCCGCGTACGCCAAGCAGAACAAGATAAGATGGGCCGGGCACGTAATGCGTTTCGACGACAACCGGTGGACGAGAGCTGTAACAGATTGGATACCATTGGACGTCAAACGCGAACGAGGAAGACCGCCGACGCGATGGTCAGATATGTTCACGAAGTCCTTTAATGAAGTCCTTCAGAGCGTTCCACGTGTTCCTGGTGCGATACGTAAACATTGGTCAACAATCGCCCGAGACAGGGACGAATGGAGGCATCACTGGTACCCGCTCGTGCAACACGATGATCAACGGGGATACAGGTGATACAGGTGATGACCATAAGGTCCCACAGCGACTCCGCGTTCTTCAACCTTGGTGGGCTTTGCTCCACACACCCAAATTTGGAGTTAACCGCTTCGAAAAAGCCCATTCTTGACAATTTTGCACGCAAGCTACGCTTTCAAAATCAGAGGAATGGATGACCCCAGATAAGCGGAAAATCTTCGAGTGAGATTTGACGGGACTACGTTCGAGCTCTGACAGCACTAGTTTTTCATCGGAACTCACTGCAATATATTTTTGCGAAGAAGCACGGAATAATAGTGAAGGAAATGGAAAACAAAGTCTGTGTTTACATTTTTAAGGAAGTTCAAAAGACCACAAACATCTACAACTTTGAAGGTAAGGAACGTAAACGTGCTGATTGGTAGTAAGAGAAGGGATAACTCGGCGGACGATATCCACACAACTCGACGATTACACGTACCTCATAATCTCCGCCTCTCACCATAAATTCGATTTGATCAAGAAGAGTGTTTGTTTTATCCAGTATCGCTCCGTATGGGAAGCAACATACACCTTGAAAGGTAGATTCAAGAAAAAGTAGTGATGAATTTAAAGCGACTACCTTCATCAAGTACAGCTCTCATGATATCAACAGAGTTCAAGATGTGCACTTGGATGTTTGTGAGAACACTAGTTGGAAAGTGAAGGCTGGGATCGGATGGCAGCTTTCGTTGCAGTGCCATCAGCATTTGATCGGACCTTTAATGGAATGCAATGCGAAAAAATAATGTCACAGAGTAACCAAATCTGCATTGATGTGAACAAGTGAACAACGACATCTAGATTTGCAACTAACTGAGCAACCATACTTTTGAATTGTAAAATCTTACCTTTCCAGCAGTTTGTAATATCCACTGTTCAAGAGCTGTCCACATATCTCGTCCCAATGAGGATGTACTGCTCTAAGCTGGCCCAGCTGTAAGGTAGTAATATTCTAACCGAGTTACACTGATGAAAACATTTCGTACCTGTTCATATGTAAAGTATTTGCCCAGAATGAGCTGCAGGCAGAATACTGGCATCTCGGCTTTGATGCCATTTGCCCGGCAAACTACTTCCTGTTCGAGAACTTTTGCGGGAGACAGAGATCTCTCCTTCAGACCTTTGCCTGAAAATAATTTAGTAAGTTCAACAAATCACTGACTTTTTATTACGGGTGAACAAAGGAAGCGGCTCTACAGTAGCAGTCATAGTTTTTCGACTTCAGAGGCGTCAAGAGCTACAGAATAGTTAGAAGCTGGTACTGACAATAATCATAGGGTTGAAGCTACTATAACGTCTAATTTCACACCAAGCGATCGAAGATCTTCCAAAACGCAAAACCTCAACGGGAAAACTTGCAGACTTTCGTCTTTTGGGTTCTGGAAGATTCAGCATACCACCTGCGTCATTTTCGGCCTCGTCTGCCGCAGTCCTTGCAACCTTTCGTGCATTTTCCCTTGTATACTCTTTTCTCAAATCGTCACTGTTCGCGTAACCGCGTTCTTTCGGTAGACTTCCAATAGCAAACGATGTGTTTCGCAATTTGCGGTTACCTGGTAATGTTGAAAAATAAAGGGATTTTTATCAAAAGAGTTTGAAGTGGTTCGATGAAATAAGATTATATGGGCAACTCTAAAAGATTGACTAAACTCTACTGTAAAAGGCTGTCCCATAATTTTTATCCGATTTTAACATTGAAATCTAATTATCTTGACAGCGAGAGGACCTACAACGGTACAAGTACGTTATCATACTTTCCAATGCATAAAGTGTGCATTCACCTGTCGAAAGAACTCAGGACCTTAGGGGCGGAATTTGTCATTCTACCCCAATCAATTTCTCTTCATTTTCAGGAAAAGAAAAATACGAGAATCTTATATATAAAGTTGAATGTGTGTATGTATGTCTGTCTGTATGTACGTATGTGCGGAATAGAAATTTTTATTTCTGGACCGATTTGGACCAAACTTGGCACACATATACTTCGGGGCAGGGAGCGTGTCATAGGCTACTTTTCGTTATCGATCGATATCGATTTTATCGATTTTTTGCAAAATTTGAGCTACGGGGCTGGGAGTTGGCACAGGGGGGTAATCGAGCATGCTGATTACGAATATAATAATGACAGGGCCGGGCGGAGCCGGGTTTGCCAGCTAGTTATATGATAAAATATCTGATGGGGGTAAATTCCATTTTGATACTATCAGATGCTGGCCATACTTCACGCGGAATACATTCTAAGGGCCGGGCATACTTCACGCGATTTGGCAATTCGCCAGAAGTTTTCAGATCCAACACTAGCAAACTGCACATGCATAGTGTGTATAATTTACGCGGTTTGATAAAATGCCCTATCTTCTGTCCATCTAAAATGTGCTTACAGTGAGCTATGAACAATTGGAATATTGCCGAATCGCGTTCCGACTGAAATCGCGTGAAGTATGCCCGGCCCTTCAGGCGGATGCTTGATAACCATCTTGTATATTGCTTTGCTCTATTGGGAGGGGGGGGGGAGGCCAAAGCCCAAATGCACTAATAAAGGAAAAAGCAGAAGAACTATGATTTTTATGAAATCGGGAGACATTATCGGACACCCTAAGAATAGCATCAACTTAATTAGAAAATCAGTTTTGAGACCATTATCTTTAGATCTACATAAAATTTGCTATCATCAAAGGAAACAGTCAGAGTCTCTTCTCCGCTGGATATAAGTTTTATACATGCTTGCTTATAAGAATTATCAAAAGTCCTGTCTTTATATGAAGAACCGGCCACCGTTAGTCTCCAACAAATTCTTAATGAGTCTCATGTCTACCTCAAGTCACTTCAGGTCTGATACTCATTGACCAATTGTGACTTTGGTCTCCTGCTGGTGGCCTTCTTTAAAATTTTAGCTTGCCCTCTGATTTGTTCTTCATTTCCTCCTTTTACATGTCCGTACTCATTTTCTGCCTAACGTGAGACCGCCTTCAACTCATCCACTGTCCGGTCGCAAAATTCAACATCATAGCTCCCATCGTCGATCGTAACTTCTTACCTCCATTACGCATAAATGACCTTTAACGTCACTTTCATACAGTTTTGTTCGACCACTGCATGACATCCAGGATTTGGGTTTACGTTGAAAATTTTGTTCCTAATTCTTGTGAGACTCCTCCATCAACCAAGCTGCGTAGTTCTGTCAGATTTCTCGTTAATGTACCGTCTACAAGATATTTGATATTTGATATTTGGTATTTATTGCACAAAAGTGCGCCATTTCAATCATAATGCATTAAGTGTAGACTATAAAAACAAAAAATCCAGTAGAATAGAAAAAGGACGTTCGAATAGAAATGGTAGGAAGAAGAACGTCAAAACATCAAGAAAGATCGACATAATTCAATCGCAACACTATGGCATCACGTAGTTTGGGTCCAATCTGGATAAAAGTGTGATGAAGGCTTGTATTTGACTGCTCCATGATTATAATTATCAGAATAGAATAATATGATCCATGGAGATGGACCCATGCCCCTTTTTGCCAGCAAAATGATTTTGATTAACAAACAGCCAAGGTTTGATTTTGGCTGTACTTTTTGACTTTACCAGACCAGTAAGCCAGGGTGAGCAATGATTCTAAGTGAATTTCAGTAAAGGTTGTAGTGAATGGGTAATTGATAAATGAGCGGGAAGAATCAAACTTGGTAATTGTTATCTGTGGAGAAGGCAATCATGCCATCTCATTTCCAGCAGAAGCTCTTGCAATAATAAAATAAGCAAAGCGGGGCTCGGTTGGTGAAGTAATATTGATCAACCCTGCCCAAATGATTCCGGGGAGAGTCCAATGACTCCGAAAAAATTTCAAATAGTTTCACTTTTTGTAATTCGATTAGAAGCAAGTCAACAAGCTATATTGATTGAAAAGAGAAGCAAACTGATTAGACCTAAACTAACGTGACGGGAATATTGGGTTACTAAGACGTATAAAAGAAATTAATATGGAAGAAAAGAACAGAATTTGATAATTGTATTTGGTATGCATGCCCTCCTATCTCCTTCACTGCATTGTGCTTACGAATGTCTTTGCCAATAATAACTTCTTGAGTAATACCATTCACAGTAGGCTTCGATGAGATTAGATGATTAAGATGCGATTCTAACATGGAGAAGATCAACCGAAATTCATCAGCTGTTTGGAATCCTGTTGCATGTTATCCTTCGGATGCTGTTTTTAAATATTCATGTTCTTACTGCATCCAATTCTTTTCTGCTTCTTGCCATCAGAATCACAATATCCATGAGAGCTTGCGGGATTAGCGTGGGAAGTCTGTTTTGATTGTGGAAAAGGTGCGGTATGACTGAGCCCTTTCTGTACGCCGACGTCTATTTTCGAAGTCCTACTGCATTTCTACGATATTTTTCTGTGGTAGCCATTTTTTAATGTGTTTGCAAATTTAACATGTTAGCTATAGGTATTTCAGAAAGAATTTTTTGGATGTAACAGAAGAAATTCCAAAGTATACTTTAAAGAAGTCTTATAAAGTGACACTGAACTTTTGTTACATAAATCACACAGAGCAAAACAAAAGTTCCTCTATGAGAGCTTTCAAGAGATGTGAGATCATCAAAAAACTAACCACCTGCTCCTCTTACCTTCATAAATTGGATCAAGACGTCGATCGGGTGTTAAACTCTTTCTGCTAGAAGGTACTCGTGAAAGCACTGTGGATTTGCGCTGAATAAACTCTTTGACAAACATAAAAAAAGTTAGCAGCTTTAGCCAACCTCGCCATTCATGCCGCTGGTGCTTTCCGAAGACTCCATGAGCTTTTTCCTGAGGTCGCTAATGCTTGAGTTTTCTGCCTCTTCGGCCTGCATGTTGAGAAGAGTGAAAGAAATATTTTGAGTAGAGGAAAAAGTTATCCTACGGATTTTGCCTCTGAAGTTGGCGACTTTGATGTGCCAGCATTCTGTTCTACTCCGTTAGTCAGACCCCGCCCGGGACTAGTGTGGGACATTCTATCAGCAGCACGCTCAAGAGCAGACTTCTCCGGGGCTTTGGCGGGCTCTTTTAGATTCTTGGACAATGATGCAATACTGAAAGTAGACTTTTAGGGGGAATCTATCACCATACATAAATTCACAAACCCGTTCGTCTTCTCCGTCTTTTCCGGAGATTTCGACTTTTCTTGTGAGGACCTTGAAGAAATTCTGCAAAACTCATTTTTTCCAAGCCATAACAAGCTTGATCGCTCTCACCCATTTGTCAATTTTTCCGATTTTTCTGGAAGCTTTGTTGTTTCCGGGGACGACCTAGTAGACGAAGATTTTCTGCAAAAACTGCCTCCAGCTCCTAAATCTTCCGTTGTCAGGCTGTACTCACCCATTTGTCATGGTGTGATTCTGCTCAGTTGCAGGTGGCTCGTCCTCCTTTTTGTCCAGTTTCTTTCGCAATGCTCTGACCTGCAATTTTGAATTATCAGGAAAATTTACCGGTGAAAAAGGTTTGTGCTTTGTATAGAGGACACGCATTAGTGGTTATTCGGTTATAGAGGATGTACTACCCTAATTTTAGTGCATGTTAAATGCATACACATCTGCTATTGCACATTTTCCGCCACCGGGAACAAGATGAAAAGCATGTGGTGAAGAAGGGAAGGACGAGGAAGACTACCCAGGAAATCGATTTTGTAAATAATCAGTGCAGAGGAAATAACATTGTTGCAAAATAGTTGATATATTTGCTGTAATATAATAGTAATGTAGTGTTCTGAGAAGGGCTTGAGTTGTTGGGAGTAATGGTAAAGAATAAAGCTTTCCATACGAGGACCACTTACTTTAGAATTTACTGCAGTTGGTGCCTGAAAGATTGTATTCTCACACAATAAAGATTATATACATGGCTTTTTGGGGATAAATACAGACTTTATCAAGATGTAGTAAACTCGTTAGTCTATGGTCATGCATTGCGAGATTGGATCCCTTATCAATCTTTGTGTAAACTATTTTAAAATTTGTAATTGTGTTTGTAAGCCGCCGAAGTAGTAACGATTGATTATTGGATGAAGGTTCGGCAGTTTCTTTATACCTCTTCGGAGCCTTGACAGCACGATCTGTAACCTATTCGGACTAAACGTCTTTGCAGCTCTACAAGCAAAGTTCTGAGACTAAGCCTTATCATTGTTGAATCGCCAAACCGAACAATTACTTTTCTGGGAACGCCTAGCACACAGGTAGTTGAGCGAGCGCTACCTGGACATCATATATGCTCGCTATTTATAGGCCTCCAAACAGTCAGAAGAGGTGACCCAGGTGAAGAAAAAGTTTATGGGTGGTACAGAGGCACCCCTCCTTGCGATTCATTTGTGGCCTTTTTGTGTGAATTCAAAGGGCATCCAAACATTTGCGAGCTGATGTGCATTCATACGCTGAGTTTTCGGCAGCTTTAGGCTTTTTACACTCATAGCCACTCAGCCGATAGTCACGGTTTCGAACCATTGCTTTGATATGTCCAACCTTGGCTAGTTGAAAAATTTTTCGCAACTCAAAGATTGATAACAGGTCAACAAATATATTGCAACATAACCGTTGCACACCCCCTTCCCCCAAACCGAGTGCCTTTTCAGTATCTCAAGATAAATTTGAGCGACCATTCGGACAAAGTTCCTACCCCGGTATTCGGACTTAGTCTCAAAAGCTAGAGGAAAGGGATCTAGTCTTTTTTTTTGCAAAATTTTAATAGTTAGCTAAATTTGGACATTATAAAATCAAACGGTTAACTCTTCGACGATTGTTCGAGCGAGCGAGAGAGCAACTGATCCGTAAGCCTTGAATAATTACTGGAAAAAGAACAATGCACCAAGTACACTTAAAAGCGTATTTGTTTCTCCAGTCCGCTTGAGTTTATAATAAATCAGATAATGACACAAACTTTTTAGAGCGACCCAGTAGTTTTAGTCAGTCAAAAAAATGTCAAAAATGGCCATGTTCTTAAGAAAATTTTTTGAAAAAATATGTGTCAGCTTGTAACTACTTCTGTGCCATACAGGTTTGGTAAGTGGTCTTTAATCCAATCACACGGCCTAACATTTCGACGCCTTCGTCTTCCTCAAAGGCCTGAAAATGGTTCAAAGTGTCAACCGTAACTCAACACCACCAAACATCGCCTCCAAACGAGCTGGTTTTCGGCTTTCCCTCAGTTTCGCTAGCAGAAATTGTGCAGAGCGAAGATGACGTACCGGAAGACCATCGATATGCGTGGAAATCCGCACCGGAAGTGAGTGGTCGCGGCGGACGAATGATTCATCCTATAGATGCACATGCAATGTGATCTATAGCTGGCATAGAGATGTGAAAGGAAGGAAATCAGCAGTGATTGACAGGCACTTCGGTACGTCATCTTCGCTCTGCACAATTTCTGCTAGCGAAACTGAGGGAAAGCCAAAAACTAGCTCGTTTGGTGGTGTTGTGTTACGGGTGACACTTTGAACCATTTTCAGGCCTCTGAGGGAGACGAAGGCGTCGAAACGTTGGGCCGTGTGATTGGAATAAAGACCACCTACCAAACCTGTATGGCACAGAAGTAGTTACAAGATACGAACATGCCCAGCTTTATAAAAACGGAACTTGGAAGTTATGTGTCAGCTATTTCCTGAAAGTATGAAAGCTAGCAAGAGAAGAGATTTCTGCTGAAGTTTTTCGATAACTTCAATAAAAGCATTCGTAAAAGTCAAGATTGTAAACTAATAGAAATCCCAACGGCGCAAAAGAGATTCGCCGTCAACTGATGCAAGCAAGTCAGAGATTGACATGAATAAAATAAGAATTTATGATAGACACAACTGATAGAGCATGAATTGACAGCGAGTTCAGTCGATTCTAGTAGGCGTGAGTGTTGACCAATACTTTGTTTAAAGTGTAGTTCGTATAGAAGGGTTTTGCCCTTTCAACAGCTTATGTTCTTGCAGCCATGTGCGCACAATAGTAATCAAAATGCCATTGGCATCTACTTGCTTCACTCCCCACTAATTTGCAATCTAATTTTGAAGTCCTTCCCACCAAAAAATGTGGTAAGGCTTTCTTGTTTGTTGCTAGCAAAATGCTCTCTCGCTCTTATCCATATCGGTCTTCCAATCTCTCCGGTACAAGTGGCGCTGCACTTTATACATTTGAGAAACCGCTATGGCTAAAAGTAAAAGAACATTTTCCCACCGAACCGAAAAAGCCTTACCACACCTCAAACGGGGTTAAGGAGAACGGAGGTAAACACAGAGTTGAATTTCACAGTGGTAGCGAATTCGAAACTGCATTACTATATGGCATAATACGACATTGCTGGTAGAACTTTCGAGGCATTCTGAATTTTTGCAAGAAACCCAAGTATGAACAGCCGAAATGAGTGTGTCAATTACAACTTATTAGGTTGGCACATAAGTGAAATAACTTTTATATAACTTTTATCTTTTCAAACGTAGCGCATCCATTTTCTGGTAACGTAAGAATTATGATGTGAACTGCAAAGGCAGACATTATTGCCGAAGTTTGCCGTCTTATGCATTGGTTACGGTAGGTTTACGGTACAAGGGGAAAATTTTAGATTGGGTCAGATTTTGCTGAAACTTGGCCTTTATGAAGGTGCCTCTTTCGTAATGTAAAGAAAAGAATTTCATCTTAGTGTTAAATGGATATGATAATTGCCTTCACCGTACTGGATTACCCCACTGTGCAAAATTTTAGCAAATTCTGGGGTTTCACGGCTTACTTGATGATGGCCCTCAAAACTTGACGCATTTGACTTTTTCAACTTCTCAAAGGCACCTTATCTTGATCTGTCCTATTTGATGTGTCAGCTTCTAGCTACATGCTGCCTGTGATTCCTTTTTGATATGTTTGATTCAGGTTTTGTTCGACTTCATGTCCGCCAAAAAAACGTGAAACCACGATTTTCAAGGGTTTTCGAAAAATGATTAAATTTCTTCTACTACGTTATCAAAAATAAAACGATTTGCGCAGACTTGTAGCTCTTACTTCACAGTCTACATGATGCCAGAGAATGAGAGTGCTAGATTGAATAAGAAAAAGCTTCTGGGATAAGTTGCAAAACTTATCAACCTAATACTTTATGCTTTTTATGACTTATATGAGTTGAAGAATGTCATTACTGATTAGAGTAAATAAGGTATGCAGTGTGCAAGGACGATCGTCTTCAGCATCTGCGCAGGGGCGGTAGAGGAAGTCATTTTGACATTCAATTGCATATTTTCGTTTGTAGCATTTGAAGGGTTCATTCAGGCTGGTTGGGATGGAAGAGGTTTCTGGTGAGGTAGACATAAAATCATGAATCTCCTACCACTTCAGACATCTGAAGGATACGAACAGGTAGAAACCCTAGGCTGCTACAACTGGTTAACTTCTAACCTTCGGCTTACTGACATACTAACACAGTTCTGACGTAATCTGTCACGCAGAACAATTCGCATTCGCTGCACCCAAGCGTTTTATGATCACAGTTGACTCAAAGCCTATTCTCAAGCAACCACGCGCATTGACTCAACAATTTTTGTCCCCTCCTCTCGAACAGAAATCCTGGAACCGCACATGTACAAGGAGCAAGAAATACAATATTTAATCGCCAAAATGAGGAAAAAACGGGGTCTTGGAGCATATACGAAAAGCAAGATTTCAAGCAGACATACCAAGAGATCTAAGAGGAGTTGGCGAAATAAAATAACTCACAATTTTTTTCTTCTCCCCATTATCATCGCCCAGATCCTCGTTAGGAGTGCGTTTTTTAACGATTTTCTTCACTACCCTTACTTTCTTCACAGCAGGCATTGGCGGTAAAGCAAATACTCGTGTTACAGGTGCAATCCATAACGAATAGCTGGTAGATTCGGCTACCTAGAAAAGTTTTCAAGAAATTTTAGTATTCATTCATCTATAGTGGCTTCCAACCGATTCTGGTGGTGAACTGATTTGGGATGATGCTTCCGTCGAATCCGGTGTATCTTCTCGCCGAGTGGATATTACTGGTGAATTACAGCATAGAAGATGATATGTTGGTTGACTCTGTAAATTGTAGAGATAAGCTTTATTGTTTCTTCCGACTTCTGGCTTCCGTAATTCAAAGCCAGCCTCTTTGATCAAAACATTGATTTTTTGATGCATCGTCACATGTTGATGTTTCACATTTTCCTAAGCAGCGCTGATTACGTTTCTTTTCAACCTTCCTTTGTAAATTTCGGTACTGCCAGCTTGCCCCTAAGCGCTAAAACTCGGTGAATATGAGTATATTGGGTAGAGAAGTATAGGTCGCCGAATGTAGAAGGGTCCCGCGCGGACTTTTTGCAAAAGAGCACCTAGATGCATTTGGAAAGGTGCGTAATTGTTGCAGATGACCACGGGGGCCGCCCCATTTCAACATAGTCCTCTACCTCATTATATTGTAGTAAAAACCGTATTCCTTGATTTCTTTCGCTCAATAACTAACATGTGTTCAATAGCAATAGTTTAGTATCGACTCACTTCCTTATTTTTTTCTAAAGAATGTCAGCCATGATTGATATGGTACAACAAACGCCTCAAGCTTTTCATGCTCTTCTCAAGCTCTGATCTCTTTGAACTTTGGCAGTAGAATAAGATGACCGTTACGAAAGAAACATTGGTGACGTTAACAACATTACATCGATAAGAAAATTCCAAAAGAAATTGCATCTGCCGCATGATCTATATTCTGGGATAAATACTTAGTAATGAGATGTGCATCAATATTTCTTGCTAATTTGTAGCTTAGAAAGAAAGGAATAAATGAGTAATAAGATCACCCAAGCGACCTACTTCCGTCAGTAATTATTTTTGATTCAAATTTGGTGTTGCAAACTTTGAGAATAAAACTCCAACTAGCTTCTCAAAAAAAATCATCACGACGGCCATGAAAATTTTTTGCCAACACTGCATTCTGTAAAATATCGAGACTTAAACTCGCGAAAGAGTTAAGAATCTTAAAAACTCTTCAAAGGAAGTTACTTCTTTATTCTTTCAAGAATTCTGCGACAGCCGTTGCTGATTTTTTGAGCATACTAATAGCTATTGAGAAACATTCATGAGTCATATGTCTCATATGATTAGAATCAAGATGCGAATATCGCATTGAAATTCAAATCAAATTGAAATTTTTGGAAATGCAAAGTTTTGCTCCTTAAATATTTTGCCTGCTAGGCGAAAAATCAAACAAAAAAATGGTAGTTTTATCGAGATGCTTTATTGTGCTTCAGCTGTAATTTTCCTTGACGCTCATTTTCAAATTCAATTGATCAACAAAAAACCTTTCTAACTCCGTTTCGTCTGCTTGATAGGGACACTTATATGGTTACCTAGCAGTGGCGTACCCATGGAAGGGGGGAGAGGACAAAAAAAATATTTCTGATGAAGATGCGTGTCGTCAGCCTTCCCAAAATTTTTGCGGGTCCATGACCGTTTTCAGGAAAGGAGGCGTGGCAGCAGCCACGCCCCGAAAAAAAACTTTTCACAAAGGATTTGACTTTTCAAAAATTTTCAAGAATCATTTCAATTATTCAGAAGTCAAAATAAGTCGCTTGCACACTTTCATAACACATGTAAGTAATTTTCAAAAATTTCGCGACCTATTCTCGGGGGGGGGGGGGGGGCTATAAAAAACAATAATTTGCTTGGTACTTTCCTTGGGGAGTGACCGAAACAATCAAAACGTACGTGTTCGAGTTCCACGACGAAGAAAGCCCATTTGTTCGGATATAATCTGTCAAAGAGCTTAATGAGCGGATCACGCCAGTTGCGACCTCGGCCAAGAACGAGTTCCAGACAACAGCTGGAGCGTCCATCGGTGAACAGAGCGCTGCTCTAAAGTGTAGTAAATTTAGACATAAAATCTGTGGAAAAATCGATATGAAGTGAAAAAAGCCTTGAAATGTCGGCAGATGAAGCGCTTGATGACCTTGGATAAATTAATTCTGTGTAGTCCAGCAGCGTCGAACTCGTCCAGATGTGCGATATCGGGAACGAATGTTATCTAAAAATCATGGATAATAATATTTATAGTAAGCCGAGGATACGGTAGACCAATCGATACAGGTACTTTGCATACCTCTCTGCCAAGATGAGTCACTTCAAGCCTGAACGGCGACTGAGATAGATCTGGACCAGGACCGACCGAGCACTCAATGCCATCAAATTCGTCACATAGTGCCTCTTGCACTTCTAAAATATTTTTTACTCAACATAAAATCACTTATGTGCTGAACAAATGAAAACATAAAACTTTTGAGTCACTATTTTCTTAGCAGAAAATTTCAAAATTTAAATTATTCTGTGTGGTAGATTTTGTCGTAATTTCTAATGTACTGCGCTCGATTTTTGTTTTCTCCCTCACCCTAGCCCCCAGCTGCTTAAGTACATATTATTGTTGGTTTCTGCGAAGTGATCGAAGTTAAAGACCGGCTATGATAGTAAGATAAATGCGCTCGGCAAAGTGCAATATGACAGCTGACAGAGATAAATTGTTATGATTTGAAACAAAAATCATAAGCATCTACATGCTGGCCGAAAAATATGGACAACTTCAAAACTGTTCATACAACAGGGCTTTTGCAAAAAAATCTCTTTTTAGAATGTTTATATCAAGAAATGATACTTCTATGATGTGCACCTAACGCGCTTGTGATTTTTCGAAAATTTCAAATTTCAAGGATATCCATCAAGATGAACAACCTGAATTTTGTAGAAAAGGCTCGAAACACAAGAAGTACCTAATGACTGCATAAAAAATTTATCGACCAAACTTTTGAAAAATTTGAAACTCTCAAATTTCGCACATTTCATGTTACTGGATCACACAATTTGAGCATCCTTCTCTCAGCAAAATTCACTGAAAACTAGCAAAAAAATATCATCAGTCAAGACTTAGTAGATTACTATACAAACTAGTAAGAAGATCTCATAAAATCGCAAAACTGAGGTGTTGAAAAATTTTCGTTTCCCAGAACCCTGCGATTTTTTTGATGAATGAGCTCCGTTTGCTTTTCTATCTATTTTTTTGATTCCGGGTAAATGCTTTCTCAAGAGCAAATATATCCTAAAAACAGGGCTCGGTGCGGGGGCTCATAAGCAAGCCTGAATCGTTTTTGTGACAAAAAGCGAAAGGGATATCGTTTATGTGAGTCCAAATTAGGCCTTTTTTACCGTTTTTTAGTCGATTCGGATATTTCGGATAAAGGTTGAACGGAACTTTGTAAAATTTTGCAAAAGTCAGGGGGGACGTCGCTCTTTGTAGTTTCGAAAAGCCGCCTCGTGCCGAGCCCTGCCTAAGAATGTAGTTATTCGTAGAAAAAATTTCTCTCATCTTCAAATCCAATAAAGTGACGAAAACAACCGGAAATGACCGGATTGTAAAGAAAATGGCTCAGTTTAGCATGTGTTGCTGAGTCACATCAAAACAACATGATGGAAGGATTACAACTGCGTGGGGTAGAGGAATGTCGATGTCAACATGGAAATTGATCCTAAGAAAGAATAAATAAGCGCAGAAGCTAAATTTGTATTTCAGGTTGCTAAGCACTTGCTGATGAAAAAAGAAAAAATGGGCGCAAAGAAAAAACTAGAAACTTATCATTTAACAGCAAAATAGTCTAGAACAAACCTTGAATGATTTGATCAAACGAAAGCTTTTTAATGGACATCTATGCCCGCTATTTATACGTAGCATATCACTGCTTTATATCGTCCATTCGTCTCAAAGTACTTCGCTGTACGACGAGTGCGATGAAACATGATATCCAAGAGAAATGTGTAATATGGAAATCCATCTGCTGAAGGACACTGCGCGCTGAGGAATGCCAGCAGTCAAAATGCTCAACTCTTGGAGTTAACAGATGTAAAATTCGAGGGGGGGGGGGGAGAGCGAGTAACAGAGGGGGAGAGGGAATTTACAGCATTGAAGTAGTCGTTGAGATGCATTTCTGATAGAAGGGGGACTGAACAGAATATTTTTGGTCAAAGTACTATTTACTTATTTGCTATATTGTAGAAAAAATTGGAGCAATAAAAACAGCTAGTTTTAGATCTGGACAAAAATGCTGATCTTATATAAGATCTAGCTGGAATCTTCTATGAAGATACCGTAATCATACAGTAGGCGCTGCTTTAACAAGCAAATAGGGACTGGCGTGATATTGATATTTTCAATAAATCGGTAATATCATATGTCGGCCAAAGAAAACAAAGAAGAAAGTGGGAAAATCTTTTTTGTTGCGTAATGTATGAGTTCGAAAACGATACGGTGATCATATTCTCAGACAATTCACCGGAACTTCCGCAGGACAAGAAAAATTTGCAGCGGTTTCGCGGGATTTTATTTACTATTGCAAGAGTGGAAACGTTGAAAACGGCGAAATCCGCAGGACTTTTTACAAAACGTTGCGGAACTTCCGGAAAATGCCAGCGGTTCCGCAGCACTTTGACATGCCAGCACTTCCGCAGGTTTTTGAATGTGTTGTCTTGTACGATGTTGCCTCACCAACAGCTAGAGTGCATTGTCGAACATTCGTAGTGCAAAGGATAGCAGGTGAGTCTCGCAGTCAATAGGGTAAGGTTCAAATCTCGTTTAGGTGTTCTCTTGTGCCGTTGTGATTCGCATTCTTCAGGACTTCCGCAGCACGTTTACAGAGCTTCCGCAGATGACCCGGCAGAACTTTCCCAAACATTATGCGGAAGTTTCGGTTAGTTTTCTGGTTCATGTAAAATGGAACAATAAAAAGCCAACGCAGAGAACGAAAAAAAAATAAAACTCGAAATGTTTTCAAGCAGCTTCCAAGCCCCGTTTTCATGAAACCTTGGCATGTGTCGTAAGCTCGAATTTCTTTTCTGCCGTACAGATTTGAGAAGTGGTCTTTATTTCTTCCAATCACGGCCTTACGTTTCGACGCCTTTCGTCTTCCTCAGAGGCCTGAATGGTTCTAAGTGTCATCCGTAATTCCAGACCACCAAGCGTTTCCTCCAACTCTGCTAGTTTTCGACTTTCTCACAATCTCGCTACCAAATAAAATGTCAGTATAGAGGACACACCGGAAGACCACTTTTTCCGGTGCAGACTACTCGAGTTGCAGTGGTCTTCCGGTATGTCCTCTACACTGACATTTTATTTGGTAGCGAGATTGTGAGAAGGTCGAAAACTAGCAGAGTTGGAGGAAATGCTTGGTGGTCTGGAATTACGGATGACACTTAGAACCATTCAGGCCTCTGAGGAAGACGAAAGGCGTCGAAACGTAAGGCCGTGATTGGAAGAAACAAAGACCACTTCTCAAACCTGTACGGCAAAAAAGAAATTTGAAAGGAGAAACATGATGTCAAAAGTATTATCGATAAACTGCTGTGAAGGAAAAATAGAAGGGGAATGTGCCGCAAAAATTATTTCTCAAGAAAAATCTATTTTTACACGTTCTAAAGCGTGACAAAGAAGTAGGCTGAGTCTATTGACATAACGTCGAATGGTTTCTCAGAATACGAGCCAAGAGCGCAGAAACAAAATCACACGTAGAACAGCGTGGAAACATTTTCCCGGCCAGAAAATCGAAAAGGTAGCGTGACATGGTATAGTACCATGATACTACGCAAGAGAAAAGTTTGACTTACTTACTTACTTAGGAGCATTTGCTTTCGGAAAAGTAAATGAGAAATAATGAACTAAACAGATGGAAAAATTTGATGTGATCTATCTTAAAAAGTTTCCAATCTAATATTACTTCCAGGAATTTACAACAGACCAAGAAAAAACAAAACTTTATTCGAGCTAAACAAAAAATTAGTGATGTGAGCACTGATGCATTTTATGAGATACTCGAAACGCTATTAAGATTTTATGGCGAATCACATTTCCTCAAGCCTGCGCTTATTTTTAGCTTTCATTAAACTACTTAAGAGAATAAGTTTTGGCAACATGAACAAAAGTGCTAAGCATCGTAAAGGTGGTAGACTTCTCCGAAAATGTTGGCCATTTGTACTGAATGTTTAGCTTACACAAAATTTACTATTTTACTGAATGGACTAAAAAAGTTGGATAAATTGCAAAGAAGGTTGTTCCGATCTTAAGAAAAAACATCAATTTTATTTTGATATCAAAGATACGGTTTCATGCAAGGAACGAAAAAGCAATACGTCATTGACTCAGTCTCCTGGTTCTCGGTTATATATCTTGAACGATAAACGGCAGACATTCAATATTCAATCTCCTAAAGCTTTATTGATGACGTCGGACCAATGAAAATAGATGGCAAGAACTTAAGGACCTTTTTTTCTAGCATAACACTGATTAGACGTCAGAGGGCACAAAGTGTGTTCCTTGAAGTGCAAGCGTTGAAGTATGACAGAAGCAAGATAAAAACAAAATGCAATCTGAGGAGCATCCTGCAAAACTGCACTACGTTTGTATAGTGCAATATGTTCCTAGAACAAAACGTTGGAGAGCTTAAAGATAGATAGAAAAAACAAGAAAATATGAAAGGAGAAAGCAAGGCATTGTTTGACAAATGTTTGAGGCAGAGCGACGATTCAAAATCCCAATTTTTAACAATCATAATTTTTTTATATTGCATACAAGGCTTAACGAATATTCATTAGCTCTGATAATTAAGGAGTGTACGAAAGAATAGAAACAAGAGCTTCTCGTAAAAGCCTGGGCAGATTTTTTGGAGCAATGAAGAAATCTTTGAGAAGAGAAAAAATTCTTATATTTTCAGAGGTATACCAATTCTAAAAAGATAAATTTATTCAAAAATAAGATACTGCAATGTGCGTCCCCCTGTGTGATGTAGAAGCGCAACAGTATCTATTGCTCTTCGAAATCATGAAGATAACTGTTTAGATCTCTATGAAAAATTTTCAAAAATCAATAAAAGTAATCAATCGATCGATTCGTAAACTGACCGGGCAGAAGTGCTAGCAGGTCGGCCGCACCGTCCATAGCTTTACAACCGGACTGCTGCGAGTCGGAGGAGAGTGAGGGGGGGGGAGTTCGGCTGCGGCGGAGGCGATGGTGGCTCAGCCAAAAGCTGAGCCAAATCGTCACCGTCACAGCCACAACCCCAACCATCCTCCCTCTCCCACTATCTGTTTCGTGCGTGACGAATGGGGTCCTTTGAATCCGCGGACGGGTCAGCTTTACCCTTGCCTTGGTTCAAAGGTCTCAAGATAGGGCCGACTCCCAGTAGATCAAATGCGATCACAAACATCGCACAGCTTTTCTACGCCTTTTTCTTTATCTCCTCTATGAATGAGTCACCACCCCGCCCAAGAAAGCTATTCCAAACCCGTGGATTAGCTGCTAGTACTTGTTCACGTTCGATTTGCTTTGTTTGATGCGCAAATACTGGCGTTGAGGATCTTGAAGGTCGCTAGATTCCCCGAGCTTTCGTTTACTCAGCCAAACGGCTTTGACAAATATCTCGTACGCGATTATTAATAACCAACAATTAGCGTAGAAATTTTCTGATATTCGCTCATGGAATGAGATTATAAAAGTGTAAACCTTGAACAAATCATCTCTGCCCATTTTTTTGCATGTAAAAAATTGCTGTGCAAGAAATGATGGCTCAGATTGCGGAAGTTTCAGTATTGACTTCAAAAAAACCTTTTCTTTTTCCTTTGCCTTTTTTCATCTTCCCCTGTTATTTGTGGTCTCAATACCTCCAATCACTTTGAGCAAAAAAAACGAATCTCATTACAAGATTTATTCGCCTACAAAGGAAAGGGAGAGGGGCTGCGACATTTTGAAGCCAATATCTGCTCTGAATTTTGTAAGTGACTTATATTCTAAAAAATTGAAGCATTTTTCAAAATTCCCTAAAGTCCAGATTAACCTTGTCTGGAAAAAATCCATTGCGTATTAGTTGCAACGGAATTTTTCCAAATATTTTTCCAAGCCCATTACTTCAGATTTTCGGAATTATGTTTATATGAAAATTTTTTCTGACGCCACGAACCTTCATTCAAAAAGGGCTCGTGCTCTCCCCCCCCCCCTCCGCCTTCTCCCCTCTCCCAAAAAATTTCTCGGACTGCAAATGTCATGCCACCAACTGGTCAAAATCACATGACACTTCAAATATTAGGTTGGCACATAAGTAATGCAACTTTTTATATAACTTTTGTCTATTTGAACATAGCGCATTCATTTTTTGGCAATATAAGGAATATGATGTAAGGTTCTAATGCACACATTTTTGCCGAATTTTACCATCATATGTGAGGATTACGGTAGGTTTATGGTACTATGGGAGAAATTTTAGAATGCATCAGATTTTACTGAAACTTGGCCTACAGGGCTTACTTGACATGCTGATCACAAAAATGAGATCCGTTTCGCATGAAAAGGCCTCGTTCGTGAAATCAAAAGATGCATTTCATTTTAGCGACAAATGAGCATGATATTCGTGTTTACCGCATAGGATTACCCTATAGTGCAAAGTTATAGCGAATCCTGACTTTTCGCAGCTTAGTTATTGACAAATTGCCTTCAAAACTTGACGCATTTGACTTGTTCAATTTCTCAAAGCCGCCCCACCTTAATTTGTGTTTAAATTTCATTTCTTTTTCACTGATTCCAATGTGCCAACTTCCAGCTACATGCTGCCTATAATTGCTTTTTCATATGTTTGAATCAGGTTTCGTAGGGCCTCATGTTTGCCAAAAAATCGTGAAACCTCGATTTTCAGCAGTTTTCAAAAAATTCTTAGATTTTTTGTACTACGTTATCAAAAATCAAACGGTTTGCGCAGACTTGCAGCTTTCATGACGATCTACATGATGCCACAAAATGAGGTTGCTACATAAAATAGGAAAAAAGTTACGGGAAAAGTTGCAAAACTTATGTGCCAACCTAATAAATTTTATACAGGGTGCGGCAAAAGTCTGGGAGCCTAACTTTGCAGTACTGCAATTACAAAGATACTGACGGTTTTGATTTCAATTTTATGCCACCTGACGCTGCGGTCATCCTCTACAGAATACACTTTATTTTGCTAGAAGTAGCTGCCATATGTTTCTGTAGGAATGGAAATTACCAAACTAGTACTTTTGCAAAGCGAAAAAACCAGAATTTTTGGTATGTACAATTTTTGCTATAGCTAGAGATGCTGTTAATATTTTACAAAACTTCGATGCATACAACATAGAAGAGGCTTTGCGTTATTGTGTCCTAGTTTTGCTTTTGCCAGGAGCTGCTCTTGCATGAACGGAAAATAAAAGTTTGCGAATGTTACCTACGTGTCAGTGGAAATCCGTCTTCAGAACAAATTTGGCTATAGAATGCTCAACAGGCACTGGGACCAAGGCTGTAATTTTTCATACGTCTTCTAAATTAGAATCTACTGAAATTCGGCCGTGGGAACACTTTTTATACTTTTTTAACGATATTTTTAAGTTTTTATTCGCGCAATTGTAGCCAAAATTCCGGTTTGCGACGTATACATGCTTCTAATTGAAAATCCAATATTTTTATTCCTAAGCAATGCAAAAAATCCTTTTGGAAGTATGTTGTAGACAAAAGTTTGCTCTATCACGCTGCGCATTTGCCAAGGTAAAAGAAGCAGTTATTGTGAAGGCGTGGGATGAATTCCATTACGACTACCTGCGTGCCATGACAGGTGGACTTGCCAAGATTTTGCAGGGCTGCATGGAAGGCAAAAGAGGCAGTTTTGCAGTTCAAGAACTGGACTGTATTTGCAATGGCTCGAATTATGTGTGCGCCAAATTTCTCGTTTCTAGGTACTTCCCTTCTCGTTTTGTACCAAAAAGTACTAGGCTCCCAGACTTTTGCCGCACCCTGTAACTTCAATCTAGTCAGCTTTAATTAATTTTAATTGATTTTTTCGTCACCCGAAAAGAATTTTATGCTGTGGACGTTTCTGCAAGAAGTTATAAATTTTTAGTTTACAACAAAAACGCAATTCTCGAAAGTCCTAAACTTTCACAAATCTTACAAACTACACAATTTCTTACTTTCAAAGATTAGGTCATAAAACTTATGCAAAAACGATTTCAAAAAGCTTGAAGTGATCAAAACCTGAAAGATTTCTAATTTAGAGGCTCTTCAAGTGACATTCACAAAGAGAAAGACCTCTTTTCTAATAAATTTACGAAGAGGCTAATTCGTCATGAAAGCAAAAAGTTACAAATCTTCAAAAATGACACAACTTCCGGGACAATCCAATAATTCCAATATTTCATTTGATTACTTTATACATACTTATTACATTCATGACTAAAATGATTTCCCGTCCTCTGTCAGTTTGAATTCTATCTAGAGTAAGAGTGATGAAATAATTTGCTAAACATGAGTTATGACAATCTTTCTAACAAAACTCAAAGTTCATACACCCACATCCACATTACTTCCTCTTCTCTACCAGTCTAAAAACCCAGAACTGGCAGGATATCGCAATCCTTCCTCCTCCCCAACATTTCATAACATATTTGCTAAGCTTCACGCAGTCATGATTTCGAAATAACATTGTCGCTTTGCAAGAGAACAGTTGTGCTGTTTAAATACTGTAATGGCAGCGATATAATCTCAGCCGTTTTGCTCTTCCTATCCATTAAGAAACTGGAATGATACTCATATATTTCGACTCTAACCTCTTCTGAGAGCATTCACTGCAACAAATGGTTTCATTTCTTTACACTCACTAGGTTTTGCAGGATTGCGTCCCTCCAGACAAGTTGTTATTTTCCTTCACTTTTTTCTTCACAATACACAATAACAAGCAGTTCAAGAAAAATGTATTAGGGTGTCCTACAATAATTCACCGTTTTTACCCTAAACATCAGCATTTCTCGAGAACTAGGGCACCTACAAAGGGCACAAATCATGATCGTAGTTCTGTATGTATGAGCTATCGTCGATTCGTTGACCGCACGGACTGCTCAAACGCTGCGGACCATGCGCGGCGCGGCTAAAGTGTCGCGAGAGCGCGACTTCCACAATGGCGGATTTGTACTGGAGCAAGCGTTTTACCTTGCGGCGCGTGCTCCGCAGTGATGTCCAGTTCTTGCAGTCAACGAATCGACTATATATGATCACGTGCGCGGAGGGAGCTCAGAACGTCTAGGGGCGGACTTTGCCATTTTACTCCAATTTTTTCTTTATTTCCATAGAAAAAATACGGAAAGTGCACAGTTGAATGCTCGATGTGTCAAGCATATGCTAAGATAAATGGGGAATTTTTAAGATTTTTTGGGGCAGAGATACGATTTTTCCCCGAAAAGTTCGTTTTTGACTGATCAGATTTGAGCTCAGAACTTCAAGTGAAATACGATTTGGGCAGACTCTTAGAAGCCGTCTTATAGAGCTTGCTTTGCCCTGTCGAATGATCACTCAAGAGGCTTCAGTTGAAAAAAAAGATGCGGAATGGCGACGGTTACACTAAAAACGGTAAATAATTATGGGACAACCTAATAATCTGACGATGAAACGGACCCAGATAAACCATTAAGTCCAAAAAATCAATGAAAATTATCTTTTTTACTAAGCGCTTAGGATTAACCCAAGCGCTTAGTAAAAAACCAGTTGAAATAAATCAAAAATTAGTAAAAAAATCAAATGTTTTGAAAAGAGTTTGAATCACAAATTCTACTATCAATATATTTATAATATATAATATTATCAATATCAATATATTTATAATATATAATATAATATTTTCAATATATTCTACTATCAATCTATTTATATAGAAAGATGAGTTATTTTAACTACCGCCATTCTTCCTTACCGACGAGTTCCGGGGATGCCATAGAAATAACACAATACTCCAAGGATAGGAACGGAACGGAGTTCTCAAGTTATCACCTTATAATTATAAAAATTATTATCTATTATTATTACTACAATACACTGACTCATAGTTTATAGCAATTGAAATACATATAGCCAAGTCATAAGCTTATTAATCTTCGTCAAATATTTTTTCTTCCATTCTTCCATCACTGGGACTCTGTAAGGCATAGATCGCACTATACTTCAAGAAAAATATCGCTTAAGCCCTCCATGATGAGCCCCTTTTCATTTTTGCGGCCGCTTTTCAGTAGATCCAGATATGCCAAAATGTTGAAGAGTACCTGCGAAAGTTCCCTAACTCCTAAAATAGTTTATTTAAGC